GAACATCAGCAAAATAAGAGTTTTTACAACATGATTAGAAGAAACAGTTTGTAACATAATGGAAAGGTGTGTCAAAGTATGTTTACAAAGTAATCTGCATGTTCCCTATCAGTGATGGTCAATAAACCAAGTCTCTAAGAGAAACAGCGAGGAACAGGGTTGTAAAAGCAATTACTTCATGTAACAACATGTAGCACTCAATAAAAAGGACAAACAAACAACTACTTCATGGTAATTTCAGTCTTTGAATGTTTGTACATGTAATTGAAACAACAGGGTTATTTAATAGATTCAAATACAGACATGAAAAAGGTTTTGACTAAATTGGTTGCTGGTAAAAACTGCACATTAATCAGTTTGGCTTCGCAGCTGTTGAGGAAGAAACCATTATAAAATCTTTAGAATTCTTGTGGATCAGATCAAATGCAGCACTGGGGAGAGCTGGGTGGAAATTACATTTCAAAACCCCGCCCGTCTAGGCTCGTAGATTTGCTGCTGTAGATTTATTGCTTATTGCAGACACTATCTCTCAAACCTTTAATGGCCCTTCCAGGACAACCATTATTACCATACTATAAATGGGACATCCAGTTTTTTGAAGAAATAATCAAAAGCTGTTGAGCAAGTAGATTGATTTGATAATTATAACGATTTATAAATTCTATGAAAACAAATTAATTTCTGCATTGTCTGTATGTTTTATACCCTGTCCATCACATATCTCAGGAATAGCCTGATCAACTGTTCTACCAAGCCTTACCTGGTAACCTCAGCCCATCCAACCACCTGCCCCCTTGACCCCATCCCCTCTCACTTTCTCCAGTCTATTGCTCCCCTGCTTCTTCCTTTTCTCACCCATCTCATGAACACTTCCCTGCTAACTGGCTGTTTCCCTAATTCTCTTCAAAAGGCAAGAGTAAACCTCTCTCCTGAAGAAACCCACCCTCAACCCATGTGGAGTAAACAACTACAGACCTGACTCTCTTCTTCCTTTTCTTTCCAGAGCACTTGAGCCTGCTATCTTTCATCAACTCTCCTCCTATCTTCACCAGAACAACCTTCTTGATCTTCAACAGTGTGGCTTCAAGGCAGACCACTCAACTGAGACTGCCCTCCTTGCTGTCTCTGAGCAACTTCACACTGCTCCCTCTCTCTCCTCTGTCCTCATCCTTCAAGACCTTTCTGCTGCATTTGACACAGTGAACCACCAGGGGCTTCATTTATAAAACTAGTTATTCACATATTCTGAAACTGTTCTCTCTGTAATCATTCTGTAGCAGTATAATGCTTGTGGCATTCGGCACAGACTGGTTGTGATTGTTCTGGGAGCTGGTTGTTGCTTGTGTCCAGGGGCAGATGTGGCCGCTCTTGAATGTGTTGATCTGAGGCTCTGGGGGAGTTGCATGTATCTTGCATTGTTCAGGAACAGGTGACCAGTCAACATTGTGTACCTGCAAACATTAMTGTTTGGMACACCATGGCTTTCTTTAAAAACTCATACCAATCACACCCCCACCACAAGTCAGACAAGCTCCTGGTGAAATTACAGACAGATTCTCAATAGTCGAAGCTTGTCATCAACACTTCCTCTCCTATGGTCTTTCATCTGATATGACTTCAGAACCTACAGCTGATTCTCGTATTGTTACTGTTTAAATGAAACCTTAATATCTACCGTCCTACATCCAAAGTCCTGTGGGGGCGCTAGCGCACAATAGAGTTTATTATCAGCGAAGATGGAGGCGGAAGTAGTACTCCTCTGTCTTCTACCACGTCCTCATGCAGGCTATGAATAGCTGTGGTTCCCGCGGATCACACTATTGACTAGMTCTCATCTGACTGAAGAGAAATGTCTGGACGAGGAAAGGGAGGAAAAGGTCTCGGTAAAGGAGGCGCAAAGCGTCACCGCAAAGTTCTCCGTGATAACATCCAGGGAATCACCAAGCCCGC